GTATACAGATACTGTACCTATGACTATTTCTTTTTCAGAGTTATATCAAAATTTGACATGCACAGTCAAATTTTGATATCAGTAATAGGATTAGGACGTTGGGCAACAGGAAGGGCCCTATCTATGCACAACGTTGGGCAAATTCCAAACGTATGAATTTTCGAAAACCACAATGTGGACCTGCTAAAGTTCACTTTACTAGAAACGTAATAAAATCTGAAACCGCTTACTTAACAGTCAACTGATTAATAAAGCATAGAAACGTATAGGCCATGTTATGTCTATAGCACCTTTTTGGTTAGTAAGATGTATTGTAACGGCACTTGTTTTTTAAAATCATCGTTGTTCAGAGTATACTTACAGCAGAGATACACCCAGCGCCATCTATCACATGGGCGAGTAAAGTGCTCATCAGACTACTGGCGCCGTCTGGTGCGTGACTCAGCACACCACGGTACAGTTGCCACAACTATCCGCATGGCGCGCCGGGACTAAATCTATTTTCTGTATGATATTAGTGTAAGATTTTGTTATTTAAATTGGGTATGCACGTGTCTATTTTAATTATAGTGCAATAGGCGGAGTATTTTCATTGGTCAACTGAGACGCGGCAACATGTACTTGTATTCCATTTTCAAATAGTTTAACTACATTTTGTCTAAGTAAAATAGTGCATTGTATATTTCCACCGTTAACTATTAACTGTATGCTACTTGACATGTAGCTTTAGCTTGTAACATAATATTAACATGCTTGACAGGTTCTATTCTTCCTAGTGTTATATCGTATTAGTTTCGACCAGATCCGGTAGATGGCGCTACACTGGAGTAAAGTTACATATCTATCATCTTATGTACTCACTGGCTCTATTGTTTCCTACTTGTAAGGAAAATTTTGTCTGTTTGTCAAGGTTTCACTGTTCTAAGTAATAGGTATATCACACCGACCCGAGTCGCTCCCGAAACGACACAGAAACCAAGCAGGTATTGCCTTTATCCTGGTCCTGACCTACATACATGTGATAATAATTATGTGAATCGATAATATATGAATATTTTCCATTAAGGTATGTACAGAGATATTTCATTCATTCGATATATCAAAAACGATAATTTTCTTTTTTATATCTAAGTACAAGATAACACGTTATGACGTCATGATTCATTTGCGTCATCGTCAGCATGGGTCACTGTAGGTACTAAGTATTAATCATAAATTCTCTAGAAATATACTTGAAAAAATCAAACAATCTATAACTGGGATGGTAAACCTTTGCGCACTAAATATGTTTGTACAATAATGTTTCTTGAGTTTTAAGTAGGGTGGAATAAAACACCTTTTTTACTATATGGTTTTAGAAGTAACAAAACTTACGGGTCCTCTGATTTTGATGGTAAGCAGCCCCCTTAGTCAAAAGACACCTGTAATACCAGTGTGTTACTGGCTGGTTTTGTGTTAGCGATAGCGACGTACCCGAAATATTTTGTTCAACTCCAAGACAGCCAACCATCTCAGTGGCCTTTCATTTTGACAAATATGTAGTTTGTAAACTCTTTCCGTGCAGTTGACTCGCTAGGCGAGTCCATAATTTTCACGCCTTTTTTAAGGGAGTAAAATCATTAATTTTTTTTTAATGAAACAACCCCGCCTCAGCCTCCCAAAACCGCTGCAACTCCTGTAAGCTAGGATCTACAGTAGATACAACCATGAAAATACCGGAACACTGAAGTACGGCGCGTCCCAGGTATATGAATATCGGTATTCCCTCGGTAAATTACTGCAGGAGACAGAGTCAATTAAGCCTAAATGCACAAAAAAAGAGACTGTACAACTGGGTGAAGCCCAGTCGCCAAGCTCCACGGAAATTTGACTAAAATCTAAGTGGGTCCTATGTGTATGGCAAAAGCCTAAACGCACGGTTTGTTCCAGATTTCACAAGGTCCGTATAATAAGCTATACCTGACGAAACAATTAAATTATTTAACATAGTGTTACGTTCATATTGTCAGAGATCACACTCCCAGAGTATGTGATGGGCGGACTGCTCGTATTGAAGCTCCGCTGTCGAACATTGGCACCATGGTGAATCAACAAGTTTGGATGAGAACAATTTGCTTTTAAAGTTGCCGTGGTCAGTAAGAAATTGGGCAACACAGTGATCTACCTCCAACCATGTCCTCTCCTAGAAAGCTTGCTGACAAATTAGGTCTCGCTTTGTAGTACATAGCAGCACGTCACTGCACCTCAAGATCGACCGGAAGCACGCCCGCGAGCACAGGTAGGGCCTCAAAGCTAACCGTCCTATAAGCCTAACATAGGAAATTTAAGGCTAGACGCTGGCCTTGGAGAAGATTGCGCCGTACCTAAATCATCGAATGACTGCTCCCGCCTGGGTGAGACGAGAGGGAGCGTCAGACTCTTACTGACTAAAAACCACCCTGTTCCTACTCCTGCACTTCGAGCCGGAGCCCCGGTAACCCGTTAGGTTCTCCGCGACTCCGTATAATTTTCACGCCTATGAGATTAATAGCAGGAAAATGCTACGAGCTACGGCTACGAATTACGTGCTACGAGCTACGCGCTACGAGTTACGACAGTAGTATTTCGCCGTAACTTGAGTGTACAATGTTTCAAAAATTTAGGGTATTATAAAGCACGTGAGTAAGAAACTTAGTTCTACATAAAATCTGAATATTTTTTGATAATGTTGAGCTACATGGGCTTGGCACCGTATTATATGGAAATATTTTGTAGGATTTGTATGTATTTTACTGGGCATCGTGGTTACCTGGAGACTAAAGCGCTTGCTTCTTAAGCATGAGCAGGTTCGAAATATGGCAAATACCAATACGACTTTTCCAAGTTCTGTGTACTTTCAAAGATACTTTAGACACCACTAACTACACTAACATACGGTGATAGTAAAAATCGTGAGAAAATCTGTACTAATAATTTCAAATTATAAGATGGAAGTCGCCAACCTGCTTTGAGTATGTGTTGTAATTAATCTTCATTCTGCTGTAATGTTCGGAGTTTAAAAGAAAACCGCTGTTAAACTATAAAATCATCGCATTTCACTGCCTACGAGTCAGAAGAGGCCTTTCCTCAACATTTACCGGCTAATGATGATAGTTATATTGAAATAGATTCAAAAGTAGAACAAATTATTTTTGAATCGAAACACATTTCTATGGTGTTAGGTAGGCATGATTATTTCACTCGTTTGGCTATGTAAGTACGAGGTGAGCTCGCACGTACGCCGCGAACATGTCAATGTCGCGGGAACTACATATTTCTTAAAGTTAAAAAAAGAAATGTTCGCCTAGCTTCTACCCGTCACCAGCCGGCGCAGCAACACGGTGCGGACCTCGCCTGCGACACAATGACAAACAGCTAAACTCGCAACAATAATTTTATTTTGTCGCATATTTTGTAAACTCTTATATCGTAACAGTTCAAACAGTTTTATCAAAATATAAATATGTAAACCTAATTAGCTGAACAAACTGAGACACACTAGCACACACTCGCGCACGCGTACACACACACACACACACACACACACACATACCTATACATTTATAAGATATAGTAAATTCGTCGTGAGTTACATCTAAACTTAACAAATTACGTAAGTACATGGTACACGCGTTGCGCAGTCCACACTCCGCACTGTCACTGCACTGTCACTGTCCCCGACACTAGCTCGGCGTCCACACTCCGCACCTCTTCGCTAACAGCTTAGTTTCCGTAAGCCATGTTTCAGCAGCACCTTCGAGTAGCTTGCGATCGATTTTCGTTGCCAGTACAGTTTGAGTTGAACTCCAGGTCGACAACAATATTGCAGCTTAAATCTTGACATAAACATGATTTCGATGTTTTATTTTAAACTGTCAAACACCAAGCGGTCACCGGTGACCGCGACCTATTGTTCTTTAATTGTGTCTATAAAACCGGTACTCGACGAGTTAAGACTCATTATTGTCGTCTCATTTTAATCACTAGCACAGTGAGAACACACTTGAATTTCGGGTATCGAAGAGTTTTCTGTCTCGCGTCGTGTGCAGAGCAACCAGCCGGGCGCTAAGGGCGTGCGGTGGACACGGGGCGCCACCGGCGCGAGCGGGCGCACGTGGTATGTTACGGCGGCCGGTAGTGCTGCGCGCTGCGGTCTAGCGCTGGTACCCTGCAATACAATGCTGTGTCATTACCACATAACTTGACTTGTCTGTTAAAAATATAAACTGTTCCTAAGCTACAAGCCTACGGTAGATACACGTACTAAGCATTAGTTTAGATCAAACGGCAGAAAATATTACACCAACTTGAGTTTAAAGTATTTAATATTGTCTGTGACAAAATCGCATTTAACCTTGAGATAAAGTAATGCAAACGTAAATAACGTTAATTATATAGATTTTAAGTGAACTGTCATCATCCGTCCAGGAGACGCACAAAATGTGATGAGTTTTGCCAACTGTCGTTATTATGACTATGTACTTTACATACGCAGTTGCTAACATTGGAGACATATTATTCCATCAATACATCCTAACATTAAGTGCATATTGAATAGAAGGCAGTAGCGGGTGCGGAAACTCAGCGTGTAGAACTAAGGAAAGAAGTCAAAACTAGACTGAACTAAACTTGTGTAAGAGAAAGCGAGTAAGCAAAGAGTGCAATGGACAGAGCAGAAGTGCAGTGCGGGAGACACGGGACAGAGTACGGCAGCGAGGCCGTGTAGACGCCGGGACAGGAGCGGCCGAGCCAATCTGCGGGAGGAAGGCTGCGGGAAGAAGTGGAGCCAAGTCCTGCGCCGAGGGCCGCTCGCAGTACTCACATGTCGGCCGCGTGGCGCGCCGCGGGCAGCAGCAGCAGCGGAGCGGGTGCCGCGCCCCCCGCGCCCCCGCCCGCGCCCGCGCCCCCCGCGCCCTCCACGGCCGCGTACAGCGGGGGCAGCACCTTGTGCGAGTGTGCGTCCACTGCGGACCACAGGTCGGTTAGTCGCGACACGAGTCCAGGCCGCGCGGCCACGAGCTCACGTACTCACCCGCCAGCGGCCCGGCCCCGGGGCGCGCCACTCCGCCGTGTCCGCCTCCCATACTCTTGGGCTTCCGCTTTCGCGTCTGGATGCCGTCCTTCTTCATGCTGAGCGGCCGGTTCACCTGCACATATATACGTCATCGCAGTCAGACGGGGGAACTCCTCATAATCTGTCGCCGAGCGGGCCTATCATCCTTTAAACAAGCGTATCTACTCGCGGGGAGATAATTGATAAAAGATTATTTATCTCATTATGAATATTCGTGGTCGCGCGATGATAATTCTCTATCAGTCGGTAGCCCCGCGTTTTATCTCACGAGATTAGATGAGACCCTGTGTTTTGATTTTTATACAGACCCAATATTTGCCGAGGAGTTCCCTGATAACTGACTGCAGCGCCGGCAGCGATTAGATACCTGCGCGGAGTCTAATCAGCATGACCGCTGTAATCGATGCACAGTCGAGTGATACGTTAACTGGTGGAGTAGTGGCTCAGTACTCACGTTGTGCAGCTTGTAGTAGAGCCCGCACGCGTTACAGACTGGCTCCCCGTTGTTGTTGCGCCGCCACAGCGTCGTGTTGGACGTGCGACAGTTGGCGCACGTCACGCCTACGCGCCGGTTACCGTTTGTCGGCTGCAAGACACAGGTGCATTACACAAACGTCACTTCCTTCAATTACGTCTAGACCAGAACACAGAGACATTGGAGACAACTACGATGTCTATATACAGAAGTGCGATGTTGTTACTTACCAAAGCTTGCTGCGGCTTTGCCTTTTGTCCCTTGAGCGGCGGTCGATTGACCCCGTTGATGCGCGTGTAGAGGCCGCACGCGTTACACAGGTAGTGGCCCGTGCCGTCGCGTCGCCACAGCGGGGTGGTGGCAGCCGCGCAGTTGACGCACTCCTTCACCTCGCCCATACCTGCCATACCTGACACAAGTGCTCTAGTTAGCTGGTTCACTATGTTGAATCTACCTCGAAGTATGGATTTAAAACAATGCCCTTTCTACAGTCGGGTAAAAATTAAAGAAGATTAAATTAAATTAAATCAAAAATGTTATAAGCGTTGTTTCTTTTTATCTCTATGTAAGTAAGCAGATTTCACAAATCTTTGTCATATTATTTGTTATGTTCCACATAAGCCCTGCTGTCGAGCCCTTGATGTGTATAATGTATCACTCTCCTAGTCCTTGCAAACCAAACAGAACATTGTTGTCGCATGTTGTTAGTGAAGCACTGAGGTAGTAAACAATGAAAGCGGTTTGCAATAAAACGTTCCATCGAACACATAAAACTCATTACGTACTGGGATCGAAGCCGTCCTCGATGGGTAAAAGGTTATGTGCTGGCCAGGCCTGTGCAGGCGCGGGGTAGCCCTCCACCAGCAGGCCACCTTCGTATCCTGACACTGGCACGTACTCCACGCCGCCTCCCTGGCCCAGGTAGTGCTCACCTCCCACTTTGTACTGCACTGTGTTCCCGTGCGTATACAGTGTCACCTAGTTCGAACATACATATATTTATTATATCTGCTAAAGAATATAAATATAATACTGATGTAAGTACGCAAAAATGTACCTGTTGTGAGTTGGGACTGGGCGGTGTCTCATACACCGCCTGGGATTGCGGTACGACGGAGCCATACACGACGTGCGTGCCCCGCGCCAGCGACGAGGACGACAGTGTGGGGTCGCTACGGTACAGTAACTGTCCCGGCGGGGACTCGTCTCCCCGTGATCCCGCCCCGCCTCCTGCCGTGGCCGGGCCACCGCCGTACAGAGTTAGCAACTCCTTGCTGCCCCCGGCGGCGTACGCGCCGTATCCTCCACCGGCGTATTGAGGGCTCTGACCCGCATACGCGTATCCTCCGTGTACTGACGTTACTGGCTGCAGGCTCGCATAAGTAGTCGGCCGAGGCTCTCCTTCTCCCCGCGCCTCGTACTTCACCTGCTGGTAAGCGACTCCGACCGATTGTTGGTTATTGAGAGCCGTAGTCTGAATCATCTCTAGAGTGGAAGCACCTTGGTCGCTCAGTACGGCAGCATACTGTCGGTTGTCAGTAGAGGTAGCCTCGCTACCCGCGTACGCCTGGAGCTGTTCCTTTTCCTTGTGTAGGAACGCGTCATGTGCGGCCTCCTCGGCCTCACCTTCTTGCGCCACGATCACGTGATGCGGGGCACCGTAACGCAGCGCCAGCCCGCGTCCGTACGGCGGCCGTTGCGGCGGGCGCACGTACTGCGGCGGGGCGCGCTTGTCGCTGGGCGAGGAGAGTGCACGGTACGGCTCCTGTTTGAAGGCGAGGTAACGTGACGTTTCCGCTTCAGCGAGGCGCAGGCGCTCCTCGTCGTAGTGCTGCTGCTCCCGCGCCTCAGCGTCCTCCAGTTTAGCAGCGGCGTAGTGCTGCGCTTGTAACTGTTGCTCATCAAGTGGTGGCTGTTCTGGCGGTTCATCCTTGACGCCTTCGTCGTTGGCGAGTTCCCCGGGTTCATCCGTGGTGATGTGACCAGCGGCGGTGATAGTGCGCATAGCTCGCCGCGAGGTGATGACAGAGTGTGAGTGCGCGGGAGGGGAGGATTCACGTAGATTGGCGGGGCCCGCCTGGTCATGCAGGGCCCCAGACCCCGACTGGTCGTGCAGCTCGGGTGCCGTGTCGGTAGCGCTCGAGTTCTCCGGAGCCTGTTCCTGTTCGGGGCGCACCTCATTCTTCACCAGTTCAAGAGCCTCCGCGGAGGCGTGTACGTCGGGCTGCTCCATCTGAGCCACGTTCTCCATTAATATCTGCGACACATTTTATTTAATTACTCATTAGGACACACAATGACAAAGGAAAAGTTTACCAAAACAAGAACTAGGATGTTGCGAGTAGAGTGTGCCTTATTTGAGGGCAGACGTCTAAGTAAACGAGGAGGATTCGTTTTGGGAGCGGAAGAGCGACAGCGGATGTGTGCGACTAATAGGGAATAAGCTCGTGCGCCGGCGCCGACCTCGCGCTCTCTAGGGGCCAGTGTGTTTGTGTCATTTGTTGCCCACTGTAGAGTTATTGGATTTAGATTGATCTGTACTCTTTATACTACTATCGCAACAACACAGCTTACGGACGAGTGCGTGACGGACGGTGTCATAGCAGTTCGCTGAGCGTGGAGGAAACTGTTTGGTACCACCATCATTGTCGGCTTGCTCTCCTCCCGAAACTTTATTATAGATAAAGTTCTTACGAAATTCCAGTCAGTAAAAGTTGGATGTCGAGCTGAGGTTCTCCCGGAGGAAGTAATATTTCAAACGTTTACGATGTATGTTTTATGATAAGAACATTAATTATATCGAGGTATATTGGGCGCACCGCAGACGGCGGCGGGTCGCGAGCAAACATTCGCGCCCCTACACGCACAGTTTACTCTACGCCTGCGCTCACAGGCGCGCCGTGTGTTGTGCGCCGTGTATGTATGTATTATCACATAGCTAGCTAGTGTTCTCTCAGTCGCAGGACTTCAATGTCGCGCTCGTACGAGCACTGCAGCACTGACTAAGTAGATGATTGCTGCAGCACGTAGTAGCTCTGTGTGTGCGCGCGGTTCACTACGCACATGTTTATACGCAAATATTTATCCATAACCCCGTTATTATGTATGTCTTCATCACATAGCGTGCCCTTTTCGTTAGAAATGACATGACAGAAGTTATATTTAATAAGAGATGTTGTCTTTTTTGTCTTACAATTATTGTGTGATGGTGTAAATGTGTGACATTGCTTAGGACGGTGTGAGCACACACGCACGCGTGAATATACATTCTCCTGTGTTACTGTTGTGTTCGTACTTGCTTGTAGTCCGACTTTAAGGAACGGAAACGAATATATTTACCTGTGGGCTCATCGTTTTGGTTAGCACTTATTGTTAGTCGGGTAATTTATTGTCAATACAAACACCTACATAAGTCGTCTAATTAGATACCTTGAGGATTACTTGGACGTTGAAAGTAAACGTCGGGCGTTGTCCGTTAGAGCAAACATGATTCCTCGCAAGTTTGTTCAATCTACTATTTATTTATCTATTCCATTATTTCAAACACTTGAAACTTGTATACAAATAATATCCTAAAATATTTCAAAAATGGATACAAAATATAAACTAATATATGTACATAATGATTATTATAATTAACTAGTTTCTGCCCGCCACTTCGTACGCGCAATCCCGTTTCCCCCGGTCCCGTAGGATTTTCAGGATTTTTTCTGTCATAAGAACCTCATAAGACACACAACAAAAAAAATAGCCACATAGGTCTAGCCGTTCTCAAGTTATGGCGTGACAACGGGAAACGGGTTTCATTTTTATATATATAGATAAAACATTGATGGCGATGACAATAAAAAAATTACACTCTAGAAATGCAGGTGTAATAAACGGTTATTTTGGAATACACACACACAGGAGGTCCCGGACTCGTCTAGATAATATTAAACTATTGGCATCTAAATGGACTGTTTTGTGGCCACAAAACAGTCGATTTACTTACAAAATAAAGTAAGTAATTTAATTAGCAATCTGTGGCCAGTCTTTGCTTGTATGTATGTAGGTGCCCAGCGCCCTTGTTTGTTTGTTTTTATATTTTACTTTATTCTATGTTATGTAAGGTAGGTGAATGGTCAGTCTGATAGAGATTGTTATATAAAAACAATCCCAATTTCCCTTGGTTGCGGCATCACACCCGAACAGTTAGACAGATTTTATTAGTTACCTACTTTTTGTTATGTTTGTTGTGGTTAGGAGAATGTTCTATTCAAAGTAAACTTTAGAAAAGCCGTCGGGAAATTGGGATAAAGCGAATCGTAGCGATGCCATGCGACAAATGACTGGGAAGTTGGTAAATCAGTCGTAGAGTGAGGTTATGCTTATTGTATACAAGCTTCATACTAATGCTAATATTTCTACGACCCAACTATCGTTTCTCTCAGGTCTCCTGATATACTACAGAGGCGGATTATGACGCCGGTCCAAAAATGGAATAAACTTATTGACGTTAATTTCATTGTTGTTGATGGATAAGTTAATTCCATTATTGAACTTGGCGTTCCATAGTCACTGCCTACTCTATCTAGAGACAGGCATGAGGTTAATTATGTATGTACGTTAGTTCATAACAATAATATTTTGTATTAATGTTACTAAATGCAGTACGTTTAACATAGACATGTAGGCCCGACGGACGCCGGCGCTGAGTGCCTTCACATAAGTAAACCACCCTCAGTGCTGAAGTCCGCAGTTCATAACAAAATTACAAAGTGATGTGCCGTCGGCACTCGGGTCGGCTTCGCCTAATGCCACGCTTCACGGGAATACGAGTACCAGCGCACAGTGTCAGCTTCAGTGTCACACCCAGCTAGACAAGTGTATTTACGCAAGTTTTAGAACACCTCGAACTAGACACACATTGTTTTAAATAAATTATTGATCATATTAATTTATACATGAACTCACAAACTGTTCCACTTCAGGGCCCACAGGACTCTTCCCGGATGAAAAAGAAATGAGCATTGATTACCACGACTGTTTAATTCGGATTTATATTTTAATCTAGAGGAAACTATATTCCTCTCGAATCGTTTTCGTCACTGTACGCCAGGGTGTTTACTGTTTAAATACACTTGGGAAGTTCACATAACTCGGAAAATGTCACACTGCCAGGTACCCAGCAGGTTTCAGTACAGTTGCAGCTTCTGTATCTGGCTCATGCTTCTGTAGTGCACTGTATGTGTCCCGACCATCGGCGCTGCCTCTACGACGCGATGTTTATTGAGTGTTACTTGGTCATATTTCTTGGGAACAAATGCTTTTTCTAACTTTTCAATATTACAAAAGATAGGGGGGCGCAATTCTATTTCTTATAACATTAATTAAGGAAGTGCAATAATGTCAATGAAGGAATATTGATGCGTTAGACACTACAGTATCACAATTGATCATTTCGCCGTAGTGGTATAGGCATGCACCGTGATATATTCTCTAAATCCATATAGCACAGTATTCACTAACGCACAATTTTCAAAAATAGCGATACACAGTAAGAACTATAATCTAATATTTTAGTCATGTTATTGTTTCTAAAAATTATAATCAGGCGTATTTATTCACCAGATTTTCACTGTTGCGACACTCTATTAAGCAATTAGAAACGTATCCGTAAATGTTCACACGATCGCGATAATGATTGTTTACGAATGTTCATCTCAAGTTGAGAGCCGGCGGGACGGAGCGTGCAGGGAGCGAGGGAGTGGTGGAACGGTTTTGTTCAGAAAAAGTGTTTGTAGGAGTGTAGGGGTGTAGGGGGCTCGCTGCGGCGGAGGCAGCGGAGTGTGCACTGTGTGGAGTACTCACCGTGCGCCGGGCGCTGTGGCGGGCTGCGTGCAGTGTGCAGTGCTGGCCCCGGGCGCAGAGCTCGGCGCGGGCAAGTACAGGCGCGAGAGTCGCGGGCGACGGAGTGTGGCGGCGCGGCGCTCAGCTCGTCTGCAGCGCTCCAGGTGAGAGGCGAGCTTTCCGAGTGGGCCGGTCCGTGCGCCTGTGTGCGTGCGAGGGCGCGCTGCCATTGGTCGGCGACCGCGCGCCGCGCTCCGCCGCCTCACCGCTCACCGCGCGGGAACTGTCTCCATACCCGGCGACGAGCGCTGCGCAGAGCGCGGGCTGCGCGCTCCCGCTACCGCGCTGATGCTGAGACGGCTGACTCTAACATCGACTGCACTATCTGACTATCACGTTGATAACTTAACTAATCAAAACAGATATCCAAGTAAATGCTATTCTTGTTTTAAACACCTCTGTTAGTTGTTCAATGATATCCGATTGAGATAGTTTCAAAGCAACAGGTAGCAGTACTTCTGTATTAGTATACGGCTATCTTACACGCCATCTACATTCATACGATACTTAGTGGAGGAGGCATACTGGTGCGGTGTGTGCGCATGCGTCGTAGTAGGGATTATGTCAAGTGGTGTAGGAGAGCCCTATCAGTAATGTTCAGTCAGACAACTGGTCACTGGTCAGCTCTGAGTGAGCGAGGGCAGAGGAATGGTGGCTGAGAGCAGGGAGTACGGAGGAGGTGGCCGGGAGGGTGCAGCGCGTGACGTGACCTCCGCCGCGCGGTAATAATCCCTCTTATCCCCGAATTTATGTCACTGTAATAATAGTAGGTATAAGGTGCGCTTTAAACAATAATTATTGTATTTACGATACGTATCTTAACAATAAAAAGTCGATAAGAGTAATGCGTCGCGATATCTTATCAATTAGAGGCTTACTTGAGACATCGATCATCGGTCTAATTACCTGCGATAATAGTAATCATGGGATAGCGCCTCACGTCCTCCTCCCGTGCCGCCCTGTCGCCCTGTCGCCCTGTCGCCCTGTCGCCCTGTCGCCCTGTAGCCCTGCCGCTCTACCGCGCGCTGCGAGCGACCTAGTCATCATCAGTCCGTGACAGGCCTCCTCTACATGAGAGCAAGTTAGAGATAGTCATGAGTTGAAAGTAATCAGGTTTGTCAAAGATCGCTGCCGCAGTCAGTCTCTGTTAAATGTGCAGCACTTACACGCCTAGAAAGGTACTTTGCTGTCTTTTACATAACATTACATCACGCCTTTTATCCCCGAAGGGGTAGGCAGAGGTGCACATTATACCACTGTACAAAGTAACACCCACTTTTCACTATTTATGTTATGAGTCCCATGTAATAGGGGGTGAGCCTATTGCCATATACCGGGCACAATTCCAGACTCCGTACT